ATTATAAGTATAGTATAATATACCACAAACCCCTATTCTAAGTTTTCAGGGCCCTATATTAGGCTTCAGGATTTCGATCTACCCGACTGCAGGACCCGGAATGCAGCAGTAGCTCGAACTTTGGCCTCAGAGGCCGGATCCATCAGCTACTACTCTTCCTGGGGCTAAAGCTCACATGGGTAATTCTCTTAACTAGGGTCCCTTTTAAAGCCCTTTTCGTAAGAGTGCCGTACCATAGTGGAGACCTAAAAGGGGACTCTTATTTAGAGAACTACCCACATGCTAGTGTGCCGACAGTCATGAATCTGTTCAACCTCATGCCGTCCTAACCTCCGAACCCCATACCGTAAATCCCAATTCCCAGATCCTCAGCCCCCAATCCCAAACTCGACAGCAGAATCTCCGCAAGGCCCAAACTTGGGCCCGTCCAGTATGCTTCCTCAAATCCTGAATCCGAAAGCCGACAGCGTTATCATCCCAATCTGTCGGCCTTGCAGCGGACGTACATGGGTTCTTCGTTCATGTACTTTCCATGCTTCTTCGATGAGCGAGATGTGACACGCGCAGCTCGTGGTGACCAAATCGCCCGTGGCCAGGTAGAGGCCCAAACTCGCAGAATGTGCCTGCCGTTTTTGGATCTGTAGCGTTTTGGTTTCAAAGTCAACCGTGAACCACAAGCCCTTTCAATCCGAAACCCTTAGCAACCTTAAACGCCTTAAACTACAACCCGCCACACCTCCAAAATCTTGAAACCTCCTGAGGCGATTTCAATTCTATGACCACGCCCTTGAGATGATTCTGTCTTCTGAGGCCATCCTGAAACTCGAATACTCGAGATCGACGCGTTTAAATTCCATAATGGAGACCCCCGATCAAGAGCCCCAAACCGAAATAGGGATTTCTGCCGGGGTGGGCATAAACAGGTTCTCAAGCGCAGGAGGCTTAGCGTTCAGGGACAGATCTATCTGGATCTGTTTGGACCCATGTGGCTTGGGTTGTAAAATTGTGGGTTTAGACTTCGGGTCAAGCAGACGCATGCTTTGTGGATTTGGTCGTACCGCACCCCAAAAAATTCTTAACCTTGCAGAACTTGCTGAACTTGAACGTCTTCTCCGGTAACGGCAATAATTATCAACACCATGCTGATCAAACTGATGTAGCTGTACCTAACATCTCCTGTTCGTTCCTGCTTCGAAAATGTTCGGGCGGCTTGGGAACCATCAATCTTACTCCTGCTCTGTATGATGAGCATTGAGCACCTAAAAAGATAAAAGGAGAGCATTGGCTCCACGATATTCGAGGACCTTTTAAACCCATGCCAGATGCTCCCAACGGTACTACTCGTGGACCCCGAAGCCCAAACAGGGGTATTAAGTTCTCGGATCCGTCCTGTAAAAAGCTCGCAACGACAAGGTATCCTACGTGGTTTGGTAAAAATGCCAGCTGAAGCCCGAATCTCAAGCTCCAGACCCTAAACTGAAATCCTGTTTGCTTAAGGTGCAGCGACGAACTGAGCCTACGTGCTCTGAGAATTAGGGGCTCCTGTTGAAGGGTCCCTGATTTTTGGAATGTTCCGAACAGAAAGCAGAAAGCCCCAAAATGTATGCCCTTGAGCCCTAAACCCAAAATCCAAAAGCCCCACACCCTTAAAGGAACCTTCTCTGAAGGCTCCTGAAGATGACGACCTGGCGGACACCGAGTTCCTGGAGATCTACAGGAGAAGCCTCGAGAGCATCCGAAAAGACTAAGCGAGTTCATACAGGGGCCTCCATATTTACCAGTACTATTCTTGGGGAGTTCCTTATTATAGTTAAAGTAGAATGGGCCCCTATATTAATCCAGATGCTTGCAGCGAACAGGGCATGCACTTTAAGGCTTTAGCGTCAGCGTTTCTCGTTCAGGTTTCAGAGGGTTTCTTGGAAATCTTTGCAGACTTTTTTTTTTTTTTTTTTTTTNNGGGGTGGTGGTGCTCGAATAGCACAATTTAGAGGCTCTCTTAGTTTGGCTTTGCACTGCATGGTTCAATGCTGCTGGTTGCAACTATGAAGGTGTTCTATAGGGGTGATGGCGTCTTTTGTGGGGCGCTGTTGGGGCTTGCAGCCGGTGCTTTCTAAGAGGTTTAGTATTCTTACGACAACTGGCCTTGTAGTACGGATTACAGCAGGCCGTACGACGATGTTGATACGGCATCATTAAAGGGTTTCGTGAGATATGGTTGCGATAGAGTGTTTTTAGGGGCTGTGCGCATTATGTTGTTGCTTTTGTATTTCTGCCCAAGTGAGAGCATATAGGGCTCGGAAATTCAAAGTATGGATGCTAGCATTAACTTCCAGGCACATGACAGCATTTTTCATTTGGAGTTTGTGCTCTGTCAGCGCGTAACTGCATGTCTTTGGTCTCGCACAGCTGATGCTCTCAGTCCTTTTATCGATCGTATGGGTGCCCATCTCAGTCTGATTGAGCGCCCAAATGTTTAGGGTTGTATTGCGCCCTTCTTTCTAGAAGCCGACCCGTAAAGCCCCCACATGCGCTGCCTCTAGGCCCGATGATGCAGTGAGCAATGACCCTTTGGTGTTTAAGGCTCAGGGGTCTAGGCATACATACTGTATATTATATACTCTTAAGACTTTGGGCTTAGGGTTTGAGAACTCGGGTTTTGGCCTAGCAGCTGATGAGGCTTATCCCTACACCCTAAACCCAGTCCCTAGCAATCCATGATCCCCAACAGAAACCTGAAACCCCTGACTACGGAACCCTGAGCCCTGGAACCGGAAAAGCATAGGTTTCCAGAAACATTGCTTTGAGAGAGCCTGAGAAGAACAGAAAGCGCAAAAAGAAGCCCACGCTCTGAAAGCGCAGGGATGCGGCCGACCTTTACGGCCTTGGTCTTACGCCGCCTGTGTTTCAGGGGTTTTGAGAGCTTGACGGCTCCGACTTTCGGACCTTGAGGGCTTCGGGTTTGTTGGGGCTTGGGACTTTTGGATCTAGGTGTTTTGCGGATTTCTGGTGTTGAGTGAGAAGGATTTAATTTCAAGCTTAATTAACAAACATACCCTTGTTGTAAATACGTCTGTCCACCCTGTACGGTGTTGCCGTAGATGCGTGTACATGCCAGTACATAAGTATGTCAATGCACATCTAAATGTGTGTATGTGCGTGCATGTACATACATACATACATACATACATACATACATACATACAGACATACAGACATACAGGAATACATACAGACATACAGACATACAGGCATACAGACATACATACATATGCACATACATATAGCCTAAACCGTAAACCCTAAAACCCATGTACATATATGTACATATCTATGCCTACATATATATCCATTCTAGATATATTTATTTAGTTGCTTAATTACTTCGTTTATTGATGTTTAATCAGTTGCATTTATATGCATATTTGTATACGTATGTACATATATATATATATACACACACACGTTCACATGTTTACATGCATTTGCAGCGTTCAGTCTAGATTTAGGGATCCTTTGTCGTGGAGGGTTCGTGTGGGGTCGTGTTGCAGTGCAGTGACCTATGAGGCAGACTGGGTATGTTTCGCGTCAAGGCTGCAGAGAGAGAGAGAGAGAGCGAATCAAGCACGTGCGTTAAGGGCTAAGAGGACAGAGTTGAGGTCTACAGTTGTTGCTTCACGTTCTGGGTGTTTCGTTTTGGATCAACTGCATTAGACATCTTCGGTCGTCGGCTTTGGGGCTTGACGGTTTGCTGAATAGAATCTTAAGTATACACGGTCTGGATGGGCAGGAAGCAGCATTGTGAATGTCAGTATATTCGATCTGTTGGTTTTCTAGGAGATCACAAACCATCTGAACTCTCAAGCCCTAAACATTAGTCATGACTTCTCATGTCTAACGCTACACCCCAGTTTCTAAGCCTAAACCCTCAAGCCTCAAGCCAGCCGTCTTTGCGTTCGCTGAGGCCTAATTCATGCCCGCTACATCGCCTCTCCGAGGGGACTGCAGGCTGACCAATCTGGGTTCTTGATACGGAATTTAATTCAAGTTACCATAATGGGATTTGGTAGTAAAGAATGGGTGTCTTTATTGTGGCTTAACTTAAGTCCCTTAACAAGAACCCGGTAATTGCCGCCTGAGGTGTTGACGATGTTGATGTTGGAAGTGGCGATGGTTGTGACATTCAGCATACTACTGACGACTGCCACGGTGAGCTGATTCAAAGCTTCCACTGCCTTCGACCCGAACAGCTGTAAGATATTGCGCTTCATGTCGCTCATGGTTCCGGATCTATTTGGATCCATGTTAATGTTGCAAATCTTCTTTGGTTGCTCGGGTGTTGTTGGAAAACCAAGAGAACGCCGCTAAGCCTGAACGGCGAACAGGCTTATCTCGCTTTTGGTCATTCTTGATGCTAGTCTTTTGTTTGGAAGGGTGAGGGGGATCCTCCTTTTACGGATCCAAGTCTTAGATATGGTGCGAAGGTTTAGGTTTGAGCGGCTGGAGATTTCGCAGGGCAAGATCCCTTGGCGAAGGGGGGGCCCGTCCCGATAAGCCCGTGTGTAGGCCGTGCAGGCTATAGCACTTCGGAAACTTAGGGACTTAGGGCCTGAGGCTTTGAGGGTTTAGGGTTCGCTGGCAGGTAATGCGAGACAAGTACCTGAAAGCGGTTTTCGGTACATGTCCACGGGTGCTTTGTGACCGTGGCGATCTCAGGAAGGAAGAACGGGTGGTTCGGAGACGGGTTCGGAGTTGAGGTACGGGATCTACAAACTAGACCCTTCAAACAGGCCTATCTTCATCCGGCAGGAAAACCTCTTTGGAGCGTTCTGCAGGTTAAAAGCGTTAAGGGTCGGGGTTTTAAGAATGTCTGGCTTTCATGATTAAGATCCCACTTTGCTCAAATACTCTATCTCAAAGAGAGCAGGTCTAGGTAATCCTAAGCTCTAAACGGTATCGCAGAGCGAACTTGCTTCTGGTCTGACTGTCTTCGGCCAATGGTCCTAACCTGTTATCCCTCAACGGTAAGCTCGCAGCCCGAAGTCCTTGAACCACAATCGCTAGACCGCGTAAGTTTACCGAGAAAGACGTTCTAGGTGAACTCGGCATGTGCTGTTTTGTTTAAGACTCGGTGATCAGAGCCCGAGCTGAAACCGTCGCCATGGCATCAAAACGATTGTGAAATTTACCGAGGAGGAAGAAGGAGAAAAGCAGAGGAAACGGCTGCTCCTACGCCTTAAGCACTATACAGACACAAAGCAACTCCGGGGTTTTGTTCCGAGCTTAGCTGTTAGTATCAAGGCTCGAGAAGTTCCTCGTTAAGCACATGAAAGCCGAGAGCGCACACATGAGCCCTGCTAGAAAGTAGATGCTGCGCCTCACTTCATGTAGCCCAGGTCAGCACACTCTGCCCATGGGTCTCTCAGAGGATCTACGAGCGGCACAGGTACGCACCCAGCTGCAGTGTACCGGCTCGCAACGCCATCAACCCGAGAATTTCGCACTTGGGCCTAAGCTTGTCAGGATGAAGGTACACACAGGGCTGACAGGCATAGTGCCCGGATTTCAATACATATAGATGGCAGAGGCCACAAAGGCGCATGGGGCAGATCGAAAGGTAGTTACACCACCATGGAAAGTGGCTCAGAGGTTGAAACCCTACCCTCGAAACACGACATACACTCTTTAAATCCACTCCGGCCTTTATCCCCGACCTTAATTACAAGGGTTTTCGTCTTCAGAGCTTCCAACCTGGGGCCATCAATAGTTTGGATCTTGGCTTGAACGGGTTTGGGGTCTCTGTTAAGGAACTTTGGTTTGGTTACCACAAAAGGGATACAATATGTTTGACCTCATGTCTCTATTGTATTCCCCTGCATCAGGCTCATTCACAAGAACCCGGGTTGAAAGATGTAAGGCTCTCAAACTTTGAGGATGTCCATCAGCTTCGCGTGAGCCTCCATAAGTTGTCGAAAGTCACTTCCCGAAAGCCCGAAAGCCTCAACTTCCAGACAGCACCTGGCTTACAACACGTCAAATTCTTCCCTGTGTGTGAACACTCCCTCGTTGATCAGCCACTTGCTGTCACGGGACGTCCAGCTGGAAGATACTCGAAAACCCAATGCTTCAACAGTAACGCACCAAAAATCAATGTTTTCTCAGTTCAAGACTTTCTCCCTAGAACTGCCCTTGTATCCCTTAGTTTGATGAGCTCCCTCTCCTGGCACACAGGTGAAGATGTTCTGCCCCAGGTGCGAACAGGCCTCGCCACTGCAACACTGATTTTGCCCATGGGAGATGCAACCCGAAGCCGACTCTCGTGGATGGTAGGCTTTCGGATTTTAGCTTCCAACTGGTTCCGAATTGAACCTGTACATGTAGTCCTGACTCAAACGGGGTTGTCCATAATGAGATTATGCATGGCCTGAACGAAGGCAATTCCCTGCCTGTGGTGGATACTAACCCTATGGAGTTCGCTCAGTACAGGGTTCCCAGACCCTCTCAACACAAAGCTTGTCACAAGAACCTCACGGACTCTTCCCGGGCCCAAACCCCGGGGCTAGAATTCCCTAGGCTGGGCTCTGGTTGAAGAACTTGGTTTCGGGGATAGCTTTTGCCTGCGAAACGCCTAAACATGGTTAAGTTTACGGTTCAGTGGCGTAGGGCTTCGGCCACAAGACCTAGTGAAGCCTTGGAACTGACAGCAATGTTTGGAACAGCCCCGACCGGCCACACGCAGAGCCATCCAGGTCTACTCTGCAAAGAGTAAGTACAGAGAGGTCGATGGCGCCTGCTTCGGGATGCCTTCCCGGCATGCTTCCGGGGGGTTTATGGGTGCGAGCCTACGACCCGAAACCGAATGCCAAAAGAGTAGTCTGCTTTTTGCTTGGAGGCCTTGTTGAGCCCTCAACCCGAAGCCCTAAAAACCCATGGCTCTCAACCTCGAAAGCTTCAAGAAAAATGCAAAACAAGGACACAGAGACTCCGAAACCATTCAGTTCGTGTCATCCCTCAGAGGGACATCGTGTTCATCATATGGATTGAACCGTATTTTGCCTAACCGCAGGGGGCTTAGGATAACCAAGCCCCCCAAAAAAGCCTGAACCCCAAACTACCCTAAAGCCACCTTCGAAGCCCCCGTTTGCGATGCCTGGCCAGGTCTTTCCCTCAAATCTTTCTACAGACCTATCCGTCCCTGATGCCTTTGGACATCCCGAGGCCCGCTTTGAAGGAGTTCTTGAACTTGCCGTCCCTTGCTGTTGTTTTGAGGCGAAGATGTGTAGAAGTATCCACTGATTTAGGGTCTGTATATTGAGGTCTGCGTTTTCACTGTGTTCGGGTGTTTGGGGAGTCAATCCTTGCTTGGAGTTTAGGGCTTAGGTCTAGTAAGACATAGGAATACATATAGTAACAGTAAAAATAATAATAATAATAATAATAATAATAATAATAATAACAACAACAATAACAACAACAATAGTAATAGTAAGCCTGAATAATAGCAATAACAATAGTAGCAATGGTCTACGGCAGGTCTTGCACGAAGTCATGACACCTCAAGCCAGACTTTCGCATGCCATGTTCAACCGATTGTAATCTGTGACCGCAGCACACTAGACCATTCTCGCAAATACCTTCTCCAAGATCATGGGGCACACCCTCAACTGAGACCCAGCACCGCCTAGACGCCTTCCAAACCCCAAATGCCAAATCCTAAACCCTAACACCCTAAACCCATATATAGGAAGGGCTCAAAGGTAGGGTTCAGGATTTTTGGCTTAGTTCGGAATCTTTCGATATCCTCAACAAATCGACCAAGCCAAGAGCCAAGACGCGGATCCGAGGTTCTCAAGGGAGCAGAGCTTTTGGGATGCTATGGTGTAGAGAGACTGCACAGGTCTAAGGTGCCGAACTGGACGCACATCTCAGCAGCTTGTGCTTGCACGCAGGCCGTTCCAACCTAGAGTCTTCGGCCTCGCCCTTGGATGCAGGAGTTGAAGATGAAGTTTGGAGTTTGGATAGAGGGCGGAAGCCCACGCCCTGAGACCCTTGCCTCTCAGGAGGCGTGGAGTGGCTGCCTAGGATCGCGCATTTGTGTTTGGTTTTGGGCACTTTTGGGCGGGGCTGAGATGATGTAACCGCATTGGTTCAAGGTTTGTCCTGGGATTGCAACGCAGCTACGCACCAAATCCCACAAGCGCAAAACAGTACAAGCCTTGAACACGTAGAATGCAGCCATCACGGCATAGAAATTGATAGGAATTCGGGCGGGCTTGAGGACCTTACAGCCACAAGGCTAAATCACAACCAGAACCCACGTGGTTTGCTTGAAAGGCGGCAAATCTCAGTTTGGATTATTCTCAGGTGCTGTGCCGGCTTTGGGGTAGGATCTCAGGGGTCCAAGATCCTACGCCTGTTAAAGAATGAAAGCAGCAGCCGTGAGAAAGGTCTTGTTTTCACCCACTGTGCTGCATTTGTGTTGGATCCTTGCGGATGGCCTTTGCGGTAGCTTCAACTTATCCCCTGCAAGCCCAATACCCAGGAATTAAGGAATCTAGCTCAAAATGAATTGGGCCTCTTATTATGAGATGACAGGTTGTGGGGTTCTCGGGAACAGCCCCTTACACCTCGCCGCCACGCCCTTTATGTTACAAACCATGTCTGCAACCCTGCGCCTCCACGATGCATCTGACCCCTATAACCTTGAGCCCGGAAACAAAAAAACGTATAAGCCAAGAAAACCTACAGCCCTGAACCGTGTAATTCGAAGCCCTTTCACCCGTGGCCCTTCACCTGAATTCTGACGGCCTAGGTTTCAAGCTTCACAAGCAGAGATCTCTGATCTCTTACAAGAATGAGCAGGATGGTTCAGGGTTTAGGGTAGGGTTTACGTTTTAAGGGATTCGGTCCTGCAAGCCGGAGGATGCAGGCTTAGGGGCGTTCTTCAGCTGTGAGTCCGGACGGAGATTTCTCCTTCTCCTCCTAAGCAATCTTCATCTTTCTGGCACAGATGTCATATTCTAGGCCGGCCAAAGTGAATTGATTTTTTGAAATTCGAGCAGTTCAGAGCTCATGCTCTGAACTTGGGATTTGGGGTTGGGGATTCAGGGCACAGGGATCAAACGATTTGACATCTCCCCCACATCCGCTTATTCCGCGCACCCTACCTATCCATGCAGCATCCCGAATGCAATCAGCATCCCAACAAGAGCAGGAATGGCGACCACTGCAACAGCAGCAGCAGCAGCAGCACAAATCGAGGGCAACATCAGCACCGTCCCTGCTGTTGTCGCTCTTGTCATCGCATGTTCCCATGTCATGTGCCTCATCATATACATCATCTGTCGTTGTCATCCTTCTTTCCATGTTCATCATCCGAATGATACAGCCAAAGCCTCCGCCCATTTCACGTCCAAAGTCCGGTTTTCGCAGGATCGGACCCCTGCGCGCGAAAGCGGCCCGGCTCCCAGCTCTGCACCGTAGATGACGCTTAGGTTACTTGAAGGTTAGGGGCTCTGGATCTAGGGTTGAATGTGGTTCAGCCAGCAGGGTCTATGGTGCAGAGGTGTAGTCGCATGCTCAACTGTGTTCGATTCCAAGATTGTCTGAGAATGAGGACAGGGCTGCAGTGCCTCAGGAGTCTGGGCTTATGGGTGCTGGTTAGATGACTACACTTCGGCCCTAAATCTGAAACCCAGTCTTGACAAAGCCCCAGCCCGTAAACCTTCATGAGGAGTGGCTCTGCAAGGTGACCGGGTGAGGGTTTGCTCTAGATCTGAGCAGTGCTCATCCAACATTATCACACACTCCAACACATCCCCAAACCGTGTTCAAATTATCAAGGCCCCACGGTCAGGCGGAGGTAGGTTCAGGGATCTATCTGTACCAGGCGCTTCCACAGGGGGCTACAATGAGACAGAGGAGGTGGGCGGGAGGGTGTCCGTGCGCAAGCTGTAGTTTCGTCAGCAACAACGACAACAGAGCCTACGAATTGAGAGTTTCTCGGAGATTCCAAGAAGTTTCTGGATGCAGGGGTTCTGGATCATGAGGGAGGGCACAGGGTTTGCGGAGGAGGTTTCGGAGCTGGGACGTACAGGCACACAGAACAGACTACGGAAGTTCAAGGCTTACGGGTTTCTACGTCAAAAGACCGAGGCTGGAAGGTGCAACAGCAGGCACTCCTGTTACCAAGGCATTGAGCTTGAAACTCCACAACCCGGCCAGCCATGAAATAACAAATCTCACAATCCCCCAAGTCGTAGACCTTGGGAATTGATGGGCTGGAGCCCGAAAGCCTTCAGAAATCCTGAAATCCTGAAGCTCCGAAGCAATGATCACTAAAGCCGGACAAGAAGCGGGTGTCACCTTGTGCTAGAAACCCGCGACAGTGAATCTCAAGTCATGATGTCCCATGATGTACCTGCACCCTCAACCCTAGACCCGGCCTTCCTGGACGGCTGTTGAGGTTCGGTTTAGGGCCGAGGGGTTCAGGGCCTGTTTTCGAATGAACGCTGCCTGCCAGGCTCAGCGATGAGCTTCTAAAAGGGCAGCAGGACGACTTTTGGGACGTTGGCTCAGGGTTGCCTTGAGTTTCGGTATTTGTGGTTTTGGGTGTGTGGTTGTTGCAGGTGCTCGGATGTGTTTGGGGATGACCGAGGAAGATATGGCAGATGCTTCCCAGGGAAGGTCGTCCCAAAGGTTTCTTTGTTGCTTGACTATTCTTCTTGCCGGGCAAAACTAGACGACCTGCTCGGGTCTAAACTGTCGAAGGTCTACCGCTTCGGGATCAAGGCATTAGTGCTTGGGGATCAGGGATTCAGGCTTTTTTGGCTATCAGCGCTGTGACTGGATCTCTCAGCCGTCGAGGGCGGTGTGGTTTGGGTGGAAAGCTCCGTTGAACAGTATTGTTGAGAAACCACCTCTAACCAGTATGGGAACGGCATTCCTCGACGCTTCCCTTGTGCCAAGATCCTATCCTTCTGGGCAAAGCGGAACACTACTCAGCGGCATGTTTTTGACCTAGGAACTAGACAGACTTCCTGCGTCATCTTAAACTGTCGTTGCCTAAGGATGTCCGAGGGTAGTTTGGCTTGTCAGGCATCGAGACCTACTCCTTCGAAAATGCGACAGCGCTGAGTTAAGCAGTAGGGGCTCGGATCTTGCTAAAAACTGCCAGCGTCTGAGATGAATTGTATTTCGCAATATCATTATGCTCTATGCATGGGTTAACAGCGAACCTATCAACAGAGCCCCGATGGCTGTGAGCCAAGTTCGTCACTCTTCACTGGACACGGTGGGCATAAAGCTGGCCGCTGTACTTTAGGCCTCCGCATCCTTCGTACGGCTGCATTGAGGAGTGATGCCGGAAAAGAGGCTGATTTCAAGCAAATGTGATGTTGTGCGCCTCCCTACTATGCGGACCCCTGCAGGATAAGACTAGAGAGGAAAATCAGGAGCAATCACGTTCACAGCAACAGCATGACAAATCATAGCAACCGAAATGCCAATCATCATCATGAAGAATTAGGGGCTCCTCGACTTTGTCGGAAGGTTTTTCCACATCAGAGAGGTCCGGTGGCATCGATGACCAATCCTGGGATCACTTGGAGGTCTGTGTCACGAACCAATCTAAGAAACCAAAGGCTCGAAAGCCTGCGCGGTAACCCTTCGGCAGCTCGAAACCCCGAGTCAAACCCGTCAACCCAAACCCGAATCTGATCCGGGACAGCCTCCAGAATTGTACTCCCAACCCAGAACCACACCCCAAAACCCCAACTCTGAGACACACAATGCGGAACTCGGACCATGTCGGGCTTCTTAACAATTGGAAACTGAGGTTTGGAGTGTTTAGGGAGCCTCGCAACAAGTCCTATAGTCCTTAAATGTCTGTCTTGCCATGTGCAGAACTCGCCAGGGGTGCATCAGACGAAAGAAGCTGTGGGCAGCTGTAGACTTCGGAGCAGAAGATCCCTACAAATCCGAAACCCAGTTCTTGGACAGATCATCTATTTTAGAAGGGTTCTGTAACGAGTTAGATAAAGGTTTTGTAGAGATTCTCCTCCCTTGTGCCGTGAAGACACTCGCGGTACCTGCATCCGCGGACGCAGCTGTTTAAAAGCGGAACCCAAGCTTGGAAATGCATCTATCGACTCTGCCAGCTTTATGGAAATCAGCTTCTGCGAAACCTGGGTTTCCGGATAGACGAAGGCTATTTAACA